GGAATGGCTTTGGGAACAGGGTGGGAATGGCTTTGGGAACAGGGTGGGAATGGTTTTGGGAACAGGGTGGGAATGGCTTTGGGAACAGGGTGGGAATGGCTTCGGGAACAGGGTGGGAATGGCACCGGGAATGGGGTGGGAATGACACCGGGACACGCTGGGGGGGGTCTGGAATGGGGGCAGGTCCCCCCCCCCTCACCTCAGGGGCACCGGGATCAGGAAAACGTTGTCCTGGACCCGGACCCGGACGCGCAGGGTGGGATTGGGGGTCGCCGCCGGATTCGGGATCACCGCTGGATTGGGGGTCGCTGCCGGATTCGGGGTCGCCGCCGGATCCGGGGGCACTTCAGCATCCGGGATCCCCCCCTCGGCCTCCCCCTCCTCCCCCGGGCCATTCCCAGGCTCCGGGGGGGGCCGGGATCGCCCCGGGGGGACCCTCGGGACCCTCCGGACGTTCCGCTTCCTCCCCTTCATCCCGGCGCTCCCCATGATCCCGGCGGGATCATCCCGAGGCTCCCGGCGCTGCCGCGGCCTCTTCCTGGCCCCTCGGGATGCCCCCAGGTCGTCCTCCAGCCAATCCTCCTGCTCCAGGAATTCCTGGGCCGGGATGAGCGCCGGGAGCTGGGAAGGGCCCGGGACGGATCCGGCGCTTCCCGGGACGGATCTGGCGCTTCCCAGGATGGATTTGGCGCTTCCCAGGTTCCGGATGGCGGCTCCCAACTCATCCCCCTCCTCGTTCCCGGCCTCTGGGAGGCACCGGCGCTTCCTCCCGGGCGAGGGAACGTCCCCGTTATTCCCGGGAGCGGGAAGATTCCCGGGATTCCCGGGCGGAGACTCCGGGACGAGGCGCTCGGAGAGCTCGGCGTCGAACAGCGACGGCTCCCGCGACGGCTCCGGGGGGGCTTTGGGGACATCAGAGACCCCTCCAGTCACCAGGAGAAGGGGGAGAGGACCCTCCGCTTGGAATTTCGGGAATTTTGGGAATGCCCAATCCCACCTTTGGCCGCCATGGCCTCCCGGAGCAGCCGCTGGGTCGCCCGGCAGCGTTCCCGCGTCTCCCGGTCCAGCTCGGCCCCGTAGGTGCCTTCCCACTCCTGCAGCGTGTCCAGGGGGGTCTGGCCCTGCAAGGGGGGGATTTTGGGGGGGTCCTGAGGGGGTCCCGGAGCCCCTCCTGTCACCTCCGGGACGCTTGTCCCGTCCCGGACAATTTGGGGATTCCTCGTCCCATCCCTGCCCCCTCGGGGACCATCCCGGGGGTCCCAAGGACAAGGAAAACCCCGGTGTGGGGCCTTCAGGGGGATCTGGGGGGTCCCAAAGGGGGTTTAGGGGTCCCTGGGTGTGGGATGACGACCCCTGGACCCCTCCCTGTCCCCTCGGGGACATCCTTGTCACCTCCTTATCCCATCCCAGCTCCCTCGGGGACCATCCCGGGGGTCCCAAGGACAAGGAAAACCCCAGTGTGGGGCCTTCAGGGGGATTTGAGGGGTCCCAAAGGGGGTTTAGGGGTCCCTGGGTGGGAAGTGAAGACCCCTGTCCCCTCCCTGTCCCCTCAGGGACATCCTTGTCACCTCCTTATCCCATCCCTGCTCCCTCAGAGCCCATCCCGGGGGTCCCAAAGCCAAGGGTGTGGGGCCATCAGGGGGATTTGGGGGGTCCCCAGGGCGGTTTAGGGGTCCCTGGGTGGGGGCTGAAGCCCCCTGTCCCCTCCCTGTCACCCTGGGGACCCTCATCCCCTCCCTGTCCCCTCCCTGTCCCTTTGGGGACCATCCCCGGGTCCAGTTCCCAAGGGAAACTCCTGTCCCTGGTTGGCCTGGGGGTGTCAGCAGGATTTGGGGGGGTCCCCAGGGGGGTTTAGGGGTGCCTGGGTGGGAGGTGAGGACCCCTGTCCCCTCCCTGTCACTTTGGGGACATCCTTGTCACCTCCTTGTCCCCTCCCTGCTCCCTCAGAGCCCATCCCAGGGGTCCCAAAGTCAAGGGTGTGGGGCCATCAGGGGGATTTGGGGGATCTCCAGGGGGGTTTAGGGGTCACTGGGTGGGAGGTGAAGCCCCCTGTCCCCTCCCTGTCCCCTCCCTGTGACTTCCAGGACATTTATCCCCTCCCTGTTCCATTGGGGACCATCCCGGGGGTCCCATGCCCAGGACAGCCCCTGCTGTGGGACCATCAGGAAGATTTGGGGGGTCCCCAGGGGGGTTTAGGGGTCCCTGGGTGGGGGCTGAATCCCCCTGTCCCGTCCCTGTCCCCCCCCTGTCACCCTGGGGACCCTCATCCCCTCCCTGTCCCCTCCCTGTCCCTTTGGGGACCATCCCGGGGGTCCAGTTCCCAAGGGAAACTCCTGTCCCTGGTTGGTCTGGGGGTGTCAGCAGGATTTGGGGGGGTCCCCAGGGGGTCTCAGGGGTCCCTGGGTGTGGGGTGAGGACCCCTGTCCCCTCCTTGTCCCCTCCCTGTCCCCTCCCTGTCCCTTTGGGGACCATCCCGGGGGTCCAGTTCCCAAGGGAAACTCCTGTCCCTGGTTGGTCTGGGGGTGTCAGCAGGATTTGGGGGGGTCTCCAGGGGGTCTCAGGGGTCCCTGGGTGGGGGGTGAGGACCCCTGTCCCCTCCCTGTCCCCTCCCTGTCCCCTTGGGGACAT